ACACACACACACACACACACACACACACACACACACACACACACACACACACACACCAGATCCAGATCAAACACATTGTGCAAATGTTCCTCATTTCCAATTGACTTTGAAAACAATGCAGACTTTTTATTTAACTGCTATATAAAATAAACAATGCTTATTTCTCAAAAGGCAAAATGACACTTTTAGTTCTGTTATTTTTTTAAATCTTTGTACTAGGGATGCACGATATATCGGCATTAATATCGGTATCGGCCAATATTGGTCATTTTTTAGAATATCGGTACCGGTCTGACATGTAAAACTGAGCTGATTTTAATGTCTGATACTGATTTCCTACTTTTTATCTTTGTGTTTCTGTTCTGGGAGGGGAGAGGATTGGTTGAGCAGCATCTGCTTGGTCATGATAGTGATACTGAAGCTGTGCAGCCAGGAATAACTGAAATAGGGAGCCATGTCAGACGTCTGGTTGTTTATTTACAGTATCAAAAAAAGACCCAAGTGTGTTTGTGGGTATATACTGTACAGTATATAATATAATTTTTGTGTTTTTGTAATATCTGTAAACATCGGTTATCGGCCACAACAACAATAATTATATCGGATATCGATATCGGCTGAAATTTTCATATCGGTGCATCCCTATTTTGTACAAATTGAACAAATAATGTGAAATATCCCTAAAACTAAATTTTATATAAAGTCCCTGGTTCTGCTAACAAGCAGCTAGTTAGAGGTCCTCTATACATGGCAGCTGTTCTATTATCACTCAGAAATAGTCTCTGTTTGAATATGAATAAGAAATACATTGAAATGTAAAAACAGCACATTCCAGTTTTGCACATTTGTTATCAAAGATACAATCTGGCACCTAAATCTCATTTATACACATGTTTCATTTGGCAAAAAAAAATAGATTATTATTGTAGCATAACACATCAATACCTTTAAAGTAAGTTTTAATTTAACTAATTCTCTCTCTCTCTCTCTCTCTCTCTCTCTCTCTCTCTCTCTCTC